CCTGCCACAATGCCCAGCTATTTTTGTTGTTGTTGTTGCAGTTGTCATTGTTGTTTTAGCTGGCCCAGGCCGGGTTTGAACCCACCAGCCCTGGTGTATGTGGCTGGTGCCCTACCCACTGACCACTGCCCCAATTGATTATTTTGAAAAGTTCTCACTATGTTGCCCAGGCTGGGTTTTGTTTTTTTTTTTTCTGAGACAGAGTCTTACTCTGTCGCCCTGGGTAGAGTGCAGTCATAGCTCACAGCTCATACCTAGGATCTGTCAGTTGCAAAGAAAAATATCTCTTCCAACTATCCTGGTAGCATTGGTTAGTAACACTGATACTTTGTGTTTTTGTCGGATGCACTTGGTAAAACTCATTGCCATTTCCCCCAAATCCACTTGGAAATTTTTTCCTCTTAAGCTTGGAATCCTTCATTTTATTCTACCTTATCAATATTTGCTATTTATTCAGTATGCAGCTCAGGAACCCCCCCCCCCTTTTTGGGGGGACAGAGTCTCAAGCTGTCACAGCTCACAGTAACCTCCAACTTCTGAGTTTAAGTGATTCTCCTGCCTCCTCCTCCCAAGTAGCTGGGATTACAGGTGCCCGCCACAACGCCTGGCTCTTTTTTGGTTGTAGTCGTCATTGTTGTTTGGCGGGCCCTGGCTGGATTCGAACCTGCCAGCTCAGGTGTATGTGGCTGGTACCTTACTGCTTGAGCCACAGGCGACAAGCCAGGAAACCCTTTTAGGAAGCCCTTCTTTCCTAAATAGCTAGAAGACCTGGTCCTCTAATTTCCAATAGTTTCACTGGACTCTTCTTTTTGTTTTTTGTTTTTGTTTGAGACAGAGTCTCACTATGTCACCCTAGGTAGAGTGCTGTGGTGTCACAGCTCACAGCAACCTCCAACTCTTGGGCTTAAGCAATTCTTTTGCCTCAGCCTCCCAAATGCTGGGACTACAGGATCTGGTCACAAGGCCTGGCTTTTTGTTGTTGTTGTAATTGTCGTTGTTTAGCAGGCCCGGGCTCGTACTTGTGGCTGGCACCCTAACCATTGAGCTATAGGCACCGATCCTCACTGGGCTCTTTGAAGTATTAGTTGTCCTTTATTGTATTTACATTCTAACCCCTCTGGATTGTCAGTGTTGTGAAGACATTTATGTTTTATTTTCACACTGGCAGATGTTTCACACCTATTGTGCCTTGTTCCTAATAAACACTGTAAACATTTGTTGTTCTCGTCCTCCTGTTTCCCTGGGTAGGAAGAGATAAGACATATGCTTAGTAGGAGATGAACATAGATGATACTAAGTTACCTCTGTTTGAACATAGATGATACTAAGTTACCTCTGTTTGAACATAGATGATACTAAGTTACCTGTGTTTGAACATGGATGATACTAAGTTACCTGTGTTTGAACATGGATGAGAATAAGTGATCTGTATTTAATCTTCACAGAGCTTGACTTTTTCCTTACAGAGAATGGTTTCTCAATCTAGAATGTATGGGAGTATTTCAGGGGCAGAAAAAAAAGGCAGAACTCATTGAAGTCAGGGAGTGGCTCTGTCTGAGAATCCATCAGACCATTATCCTACTAATTCAGAGTTAGGAAATCTCCACAGGAGCCATGGTGTACTACCCCACAAGGCTGAAGACCAGACAGACTTACTCATGGGTTGGCAGGCCACTGTTGGATCGACAGCTGCACCACAAAACCTATACGTGAGTGATGGAATTGTTTGCTTGTCCTGGAAATATAGTTTCTTAAGCTAAACTGTTCATAACTTATATCCAGCCTGTTCTAGTTACTGTATATTGATGCTTAAAGGATGGTAGAAGGGTATTAATTGTAAGGAGGAGTTTTGTCTAATTTAAGAAAATGGCAGCTAGCATAAATACAGCAACTATGATGAGGCAAAATTATGACTGGTCAATAAATTTAATGTGTGTGATAGTGTCCTATTTACTTAAGGTGAGTTCTTTGTAGCTCTTTGATATTTTGATAAATAGTACTATGTCTTTCCCAGCTCTAGAGATCTCTAACAGTTTGACACTATCACTGGGCCGCTTTCCAGCCTTGGGAAGCCTATCTTGTTCTTGGTCGGTAACTGAGCAGAGTTAGGTTCATATTAAGGCCTTTGGGGTCATGACTCATGCTACAACAGTCCATTGAACCCACTGTCTACTCTCTCATGTACCTGGGTGAATTTGTTTCCCAGTGGGAGAGTTGGTCACTAGAGAGAAACTATATAGGGGATGTAGGGGTTGGAGAGCACATCTCTTTACGTCCAAAGGGTCTAAAGAGCTTGGTCCACACTAAGTGGTTTCTAATACGTTTCTCTGTTGCCTTCTAGAGAAATGTGTGTGAAAATAGGTGATTCAACTGAGATTCACGTCGAAGTTGGACAGTTTGTGTTGATTGAAGGGAAAGACAATGAAAATCCCCGTGTTGCCAAATTGGTGGAGTTGTTTGAAGATGGTGAGTTATGGGCCGAAGTGAAAACTATTCCTTACTGTGAGTGATTGGGAATTAGGGAAGAGAGGAGATTGCTAATTCCTCTTTTGACCGTCTGTACGCATTAGACGCTGAGGTGGGATCACGTAGGAACTAGCTGCACCCTTTTCCAGCTAGAAAACATCACACTGAGGCAGTACTGAGTGAAAAAATGGAACTGAAGAGCTGAAGAATTTAGCTTTTTCATTATTTTTAGAAGTAAGAGTGGCTATTGAGGCAGGATTTGGGGAATGGAGAGAAAGGGTGAATTTAGAAAGATGACAGAAGGGAAAAATAGACGATCTGCATTATGGTAGAGATGGGTCCATCAATTCTGGCAGAGGAAGTTAATCATTTTGTTAAGTACAACTTTTTTTTTTTTTTGAGAATGTCTCACTATGTCGCCCTTAGTAGCGTGCCATGGCGTCACAGCTCACAGCAGCCACAGCCTCCCAAGTAGCTGGGACTACAGACACCTGCCACAATGCCTGGCTATTTTTTTGTTGCATTTGTTTAGCTGGCCCAGGCCGGCTTCGAACCCGCCACCCTTGGGGTATGTGGCTGGTGCCGTAACTACTGTGCTACGGGCACCAAGCCTGCAACTTCTTTAATAAGGGAGGAGGTAAGTTGAATCTGGCAGATGTATCAGTTGGTATTCAGTAAGGAAAACTAACACACTTTATTTTACCAAGAGGTATTTGTGTAGGGAGTGTAAGTATTGAAAAGGCTGGAAGTTAAGGTGACTTTTCCCAGAGATCAGTAAGTGCAGGAAGCCCCTGCTGCCCCTTAGGCTGAAGGAGCAAAATGGAAGCTCACATTAACCATAGCGCAGTGCTCACAGCCTTGGCTGACTTGCTGAGCTTCTAACACTCAGCAAACAAGAAAGAAGAGAGCACAGAAAGGTAGAACTGAGCCAAACGCCAGGAGGAGGATTAAGAAGACAGCAATTTGGACAGCGCACAGCTGACTCTTAGTTACACAGTCCTGTGGCAGTCTGTGTAAAGTTCCCTCTTAAGCACTGCTTTGTTGGTTTCTGCAGTTTCAGTTGCCCAAGGTCAACTGCAGTCCGAAACTATTACTAGTAAATGGAAAAAATAGAAATAAACAGTAAGTTTCAAATTGCTTGCCGTGCTGAGTAGCGTGATGAAATTTCATGCTGTCCCGCCCGGGATGTGACCATCCTCTTACCCCAGTGTATTCACACTGTACAGTATGTAGAGGGGAAACCTATACATATAAATATAGGGCAGAAGGAGGGTTTGGCGCAATCTGTTGTTTCAGGCATCTACTGGGGGGTCTTGGAACGCTTCCTCAGCAAATGAAGGGGGACCCCTGTACATAGATAGGACAGATCTTTGACAAGTAAAACTTTATCAATCTAATGTCCACTAGGGGGAGAAGTGTGTGCGGATTTTAGAACCCTCATGTGGCTCCCCAGTGGGTGGCTTTAGTCTTTCTCTGCAGAGAACTAAGGAGAAAAGAGGCAAAGATTACGATGGCACTGATGAGTGTATGTCCTTTCTTTTTCTTTTTCTGAGACAGACTCTCACTATGTCGCCCTTGGTACAGTGCTGTGGCGTCACAGCTCACAGCAACCTCAAACCTCAAACTTCTGGGCTTAAGCGATCCTCTTGCCTCAGCCTCCCGAATAGCGGGGACTACAGGCACCCGCCACAATACCCAGCTAGTTTTTGGTTGCAGTTGTCATGGTTGTTTAGCAGGCCCAGGCCGGCTCGAGCCCTCCAGCCTCAGTGTATGTACCTGGTGCCCTCACTGAGCTACGGATGCCCAGCCAGAGTGTATGTCCCTTCACTGGGAGCTAATGTTGGTATGGAGTGGTAGTAATGATGTAATGAAGATTACAAGCATACATTTGCCAGAAGTCATCTCAAAGGGTCAGTGCTCTAATTCTTGCAAGGATTTTTGTTTTGCTGCTGTGGATACCATCTTTATAATCACAGATTTTGATTTGTTCAGTGTCTGTGATTAGAGTAGCTCACCTCAAAGGCCTTTGTAATTCATTTTTATGCTCCACCAGGCAGTGGAACAATGTGAAGCACATGGGTGCCTTAAATGGTCCTGTGACTTTGACAAATATTTAAGGCCCCTATCACTTAATAACTTTGCCTATAAAAAGAGAATAGCCAGGGCAGTGCCTGTGGCTCCATGGGTAGGGCGCCAGCCCCATATACTGAGGGTGGTGGGTTCAAACCCAGCCCCAGCCAAAGTGCAGCAGAAAACTAGCATGGGCTCGGC